ATCCTGAAAAAATCCGATATGGAAAGCTTAAATGATATGTGCCTAATAAGCCTTCTTACTAGTCTACACAATTAGCTACGAGATTAAAATTTGCTTTGCCTAAGACTATTGGTGGTACTCAAACAACCGTTATTCAAGATAGTATCTTAATTAAACAAGAATTGCATGCACTGTTGCAAATTTAGTAATAAATGTGGTGTTATGTGGAAACTATATCTTGATTAGACATATGACAAAGTTGAATGGGATGTGCTGCGTGAAATCATGCGGGTTATGAGCATTGGCCTAAAGTGGAGGATGTGGACAAAAGGTTGTCTATCCAATTATTATTTCTCCATTTTGATCAATGGAAGCTCCAAAAGCTTCTATAAAGCTAGTAGGGGGTTGAGGCAAGGAGATTCTTAGTCTCCATTTTTGTTCACTTTAATGGTGGATGCATTTAGTTTTATACTTGGTAGGGTGGAAGATAAGGGTTCATTTCAAGGCTTTAAATTTTCAGGGTCAGGTCCAAGCATTATCTATCTTCAATACATCGATGATACATTATTTTTTTATCATGTTAAAGCTCGTTAAATCATTTCCCTAAGAAGATTTATGATATCCTACGAGGTAGTTTTGGATATGAATGTAAATTGGGACAATTGTTTTGGCTGGCATTGCTTACCCAAGTGGTGTTACTGAAAGTCTAGCGGTACTATTGGAATGCAAGTTAAAATATTTTCTTATTAAGTACTTAGGTACTCCAATTTTGATTGGTAGGCTACCGAGATTAGTTTGGGAATCTATAGTGCAAAGGTTTATTGTGAAATTGGATCTTTGGAAGGTCAAATATCTCTCTTTAGGTGATCATATATCAATAATTAAATCAACTCTCTTTAGTTTACCCATATACCTTATGTCTCTAATCACCATGCCTAATGAGATTGCACACAGGTTGGGAGAGAGCCTACACACCAAAAATGGAGGAGAGCCTTGATATAAGGAGGTCGTGGATGATGAATAAAGCTATTTTGTCCAAATGGTAGTGGAGAAACGGTCAAGGAGACTTACAATTTTGGGAAGAGGTATTTGTTGCCAAATATGGGATTGATAGAAATCAGTTGTTCATCGATGGAGGGAGGAGTGAGAAGTTTGTCTCTATGTTTTGGAAAGATATAGTTCAATGTTAGGGGTTAGTTGTGAGAAACTCAAGATGGCTCATGGGTTGAGGTGAGAAAACACTATTCTGGTTTCACAAGTGGCTAGGTGATGCTCCCTTAAAAGTTTGCTAGCTGGATGTCTTTAATGATTTTAATGACAAATTTATTAAGGTGTTTGGTGAGCTTTAAGATATGGTTTTGGGGTCATATGAAATGTTTAATGCAAATATAATAGTGTTCAAGATATTTTAATTGAGCAATTGACATCTTTTTTGCAAGAATTTAAGAACATTTATTTGTCATCTGGGGTTGGGGACAAAATTTGGGAGCACGCAACAGACGGTGTTTTTGTCAGTGCATCTCTCTATAGTTTGTCCTTCCATCATTTTTTGAGATGGTTGGAACCTAGAAGAGCTAAAATTTTATAAGTGGCCAACTTCTCACAAGATTCAAACTTTTATTTGATTTATGGCTATGGGAAAATTGTTAACAATTGATCAACTGAGAAAAAGATGGAGAATATTGGTGAATATTTGCATAATCCATGACAGAGAAAATGGAATCATCTATTTTTCCATTGCACTAATTCTCAGGAGCTACGGAACTGGCCTTTGGGATGATGGGTATTTCTTGAAATATGTCAAGGAGGTGCTCTAACATTTTAGACCAATTAAACTTGTCAACCAAAAATTGGGAAAATAATTTTCAAAGCTTTCAAAGCTGCTATTTTATAGGAAATTTGGAAAGAAAGGAACCAATTTTTTTTAGGGAAAATTCTTAAATGAGATTACCATTAGGTATAGAATTATAGAAAACATCTTTAATTGGATGCCAGTCAAGAAGGAATACATTGGTATCTCTAAGGTTGATCTTTTTGCATCTTGAGAATGTTGTGAAAGTGGTTTAAAGAAAAATATGTGTCTTCCTTCTTGGTAGGGATGGATATGGGCCAGCCCAGCCCTAGCCTAGTCCCTATAGGGCTGACTAGACCGAGCTAACAGGGCATTCGGCCAATGACCACCCCTACTTTTTTGGGTGTCCTCTCTTAATGGTACGTTGAAATTAAAATTTGTTGGCATTTCTTTAGGGAACCCTAGTCTAATAGGAGTAGTAATATTAATTAAAGATCTTATGGGGCACATTATTTTATCTTATCCTAGGCAATGTGGTTGTCACTGCTAATGAAGCTTACATGCATATGGTATTACAAGGTTTGAGGCTTTTTGCAAGTCTAATCGTAAGCACATACGATTAATGGGAGGGGATTTGCAAAATGTGGTTCACTAATGCCCAAATGAGCTAAGAGTCCCTCAGAGGTTAAGGTCATATGGGTGCAACTTCCCGATTTACTAGATGGTTGGGCGGTTGCTTTCAATCGTGTGTATGGGGAAGCCAATGGAGAGGTGGATCTTATTGCTAAACTGGGGGGATGCCATGGTGGTTCATGGCTCCATGTAATATTTTATGCGATTGACTTTGCAATTCTCTTATATTAATAATATTCAATACTCTTTACGAATGGGGTTGGGGTTGTGGTGGTAGTACCACATGAGCCCCAATCAAAGGTCACGCTCTCCGTTCATACTAACAGTGTCAAAAATTGATTATTTCCAAAATGGGTAACGGCTTGTATTTTACCTTTTTAATTGAAACCATACACAATGCATATAAATAATACTTAGAAAGCTCCATCATGGATACACCATCCATAGTGTGTGTAGTATAACAAAGGTTCATACACCATTCGTCACGATTTATGGTGGATGGACCTTTCATCACTAAAGATGGACGGTGGATGGACCTTTTTGTACACAGTATGTATATAATGTACATTGTTAATTAAGTTTTAACATAATATACTTTTTAAATTAAGTTTAAAGTTGTAACATAACTTATACGCCAATCATGCTCATTAACGGTTGGATGTGGTTTGCATAAGATTTAGGCTTTATGTGGAAAGGTAATGGAATGCTTCGAAAATAGAAATGTACTTTTCTAGCATATGGAACTTCCATAATGACTTGAAAATCTATTGTCATCCTAATTATAAAACTTGAAGCTCAAAAAATGGTACATATATGATGGATTTAAAAGCACCTGAGAATAGACTGCCTTTGAGTTTATAATGATATCATCCTAATTATGAAACTTGAAGCTCAAAAAATGGTACATATCTGATGGATTTAAAAGCACTTGAGAATAAACTGCCTTTGAATTTATAATGATATCAAGATCGTTGTTTTAGATGGATTAAAACCCATTTTTTTTAGGTCTACAATTGTAGGTCAATATGATCAGTACCAAATTTCCAGTTGGGGTTGGGAATGGGCCAAGGGGCCTTGTCCTAAAAACTTGGTTCTGGGCCACAAATATGGGCCAAGGGCCAAGCCACTATGACCCAAGGGTTGGGCCGGGGTGGTCGTAGGTTTCCCTCACTGTAGGGGCGACCAAACTCGGTCTTGTATTTTCCCTTTTTTCTTCAATTTTTCATTCAATTTATTAGGCACTGGTCTTGTGTCTTTTTGTTTCAATTTTTTTGCCTTTGAATTTATTAGGCCTTGCTTAACCTTGGCCAAGGCTAGCCTAGGGCCCATTTGCCTGTCCTAGCTAGGCTTGGACCAGGGTTGCCATCTCTAGAGCTTGGCCCATCCCAAGTCCTATTTCTAGCAGAGTATAGAAGAGTGAATTTACTTTTTATATCGGGATTATAAATGAGACAATTTATATTTCTTACAAGGAGGTCACAATTACTCTTAGCCATTAGATATCAAACTAGATGGCTAGGGGTGTGTCATGAATCTTATACTTTTTATTTGAACTTTAAATCTAGTCAATGACGCTTTTACAACCACTGGATTTGAAATCTAATAAAAGAGTGACTATGACCTCCTTGCATTAATAATAAATGATCCCTTTGTATACATTTCCTTTGATATGCATATGGAAAATTAATATATTGATCCCTTTGTTTTTTAATATTGATTTTTTTTTGAAGTTGTTTTGTTTGACATAGAGGCCCTTTTTTTTTTTTTTTTTTGTCAGAAAAATTTGTTTTCAAATATACCCCTAATTCGACCCTTGAAGGGTTAAGCTGGTGCTAACAATTTGTTAGTTTGATCGAATTAGCATATGGATTATTGATGAAAGCCGGTTTTTGAAGGGTTTGGTGCGAAAAATTGTTACTCTAACTTCTAGCTTGGTAATAGGAGACTCTCTCAAAGGTTTGAACGACTATTCTTTGTTTTCGGGGTGAGTCATTGGGAGAGGGCCCCTATCCTTTGTATGACTTGAGCCTAAGATAGTAGCTTTGCCAATCGAAAATAAAACAAACTTAAGAGAAAGGGACCTCATTGTTAAATGGGTGCGGTTTGTATAGAGCCGAGGCTCAAAACAATCAAACTAGGGCGCGCCTTCAAATAATGTCAAGAAGTATGGTTTTAATATTGGAAATCTTTATGATAGCCTTAAAATATATTTGTTTATTTAATTATAAATTTTGAAGCTCCAAAAATAGTGTATTTTATTCTATAAAAATTTGAAAATCTTGAAAATTGATGGTAAAAAAATACCTCACAATGCACTATTTTTAAAATTTGAAATCCATTTTTTTTCTCATGTACATACACATTGATATCGAGATGATTAATTTGAGGATATTTAGACATCAAAATAATCTCTTGAAAGTTTGAGATAGGCTTTAATTGGGCTGTTTAGAGTTTGAGCTCTATATACATAAACTTTTACCATATTTTAATTTTAAAAAAAAAGGTACATTTCGGTAATTTATACCAAAGCCAAGGCTTTTCTTGACATCACGTACCCAAAGGCGCCGATAAGGGAGGGTAAGAAAAACGTACACGGGCGAGTGGCTTAGAGAGAGAAAGGTAGAATGAGAGAGAGGTTTCTAGACACCGTATCCGCCTTAAACCCTAATAAAGGGTTTAAGCCTTTCTCTCTCTCTTTCTCACTCTCTCTTTCAGTTGGTTTTCTGCTTCACAAAAGCGGCAGCTTCCTTTTGTTTAACAAGCCACAGTCTAGTGTTTCTCCTACAAAATGTACAGACTCGCATCTGGTTTACTCGCAAAATCCAGGTTGGCCGCCGTTTCTTTAATATTTCATTTTGATTTTATTTTATTTTATCTGCATTTTTCTATGAAATACTCGTTTTCTTTAGTTTAGTTTGTTTCAAATTTAAACTACTGGTGTTTCACTTTGCTCCCAAATCGATCTTTTTTTTCCTAATTTCTTCATTTATTTACTCTATGCAGAATCAGAAACACCAGTAGCCAGGTACCACCGCTTATTTTCTTGCTCTTCTCATAATTAAAATGAAAACAGGGTTAACCAATGAGAAAAAAAAATGAAAAATATTTTCTTATGTTTTATTTTTGCATATTTCTTAAACTTGGTTTAAGAACAATGATATTATTGAGTCGTTTGTATTTCAGGATATGTGGTGTATATTATATGGGAAAGGTTTATATGCTTCCCCTACATCATAAAAGTTCTATCCTCCCCCTACCATCCAACCGTCCAATTTTGATCGAGAGAGTCACTCACAGTTTGATCTTAGATCCAACATCTCAAAGTATTTTAGTTTTAATTTTTTTATACAAATTGTATGAATATGAAATTTGGTACGTGCCATCTTCTCATTGGGCCGCATCTATAAAAAATATTAAAAATAATTTTTTGATAAAATATAATGATCAAAATGCTCTTTGAAACTTTCAGAGGTATTTTGGTCAATTTATTTATTGATAATTTTTTTTTTATATTTTCACTAGTGCAAGTTTAATAGAGGAATGGATGTCCAAAATTTGGTGTCAACATAGTTTATAGAAAAAATTTTAAAAAAAATAGTATAGAGATGTGACATTGTGATTGGGGCAATCTTGGCCCTCCATTCAGAATGGATAGTTGGATAAGGAGGAGGATAGAACTTCTATGCTGTAGCACATAAAGCTTGCCCATATATATATATATATATATATATATATATATATATACACTATTTTATTTTTAAATTTTTTTTATAAACTATTTTGACACCAAATTTTGGACATCCAATCCTCTATTAAATTGGCACTAGCAAAAAATATAAAAAAATATTTCCAATGGAATAAAATGACCAAAATACCCTTGAAAGTTTCAAGGGGTATTTTGGTCATTATATTTTACCGAATTTTTTTTTTTAATATTTTTTATAGGGGCGCCCCAATGAGAAGATGACAGCTACCAAATTTCATATTCATAAAATTTCTATATAAAAACTAAACATAAAATACTTTGAGACGTCAGATCTAAGATCAAACGGTGAGTGGCTCTCTTGATCAAAATCTGACGGCTGGATGATAGGGGAAGCATAGATATTCTATGCTATAGCTGAAGCATAGATCTATATATATATGAGTTATGTTATGTATTCAATTTTTTTGTCCACATTTTATTGAATAAGGGTATTTTCCTTAAAGGTGTAGACTGGATATTTCTATAAAAAACAAAGGGCATTTATTAGTGGTTAAGAAGTAATCATTGCTCCATGATGTTACTATAGTTAATAAATGTTATTCTTTCTGTCAAGACAAAAAGGTTACTACATGGTGGGTTAAGGGTGTTGAGTGTCAAAAAAATGTTGACTATAATAAGAAAATACTCATATGTATGAATACATTAATATAAATCATCAAAGCTTTTCCCAATTAATTGGGGTTGGCTACACGAATCCTGGTCCGCCATTATGCTCTATTAAGGGCTATACTCTCAGTGAGGCCATAAGTTCTTATATATTTTTTCACTACTTCCAGCCATATCCTTTTGTGCCCCTTGCCCTTTTTGAGTTTTGCACTTTAACTAACTTGCACCTCCCAACATATGTTATGCTGGGTCTGTGCCACGCATGGCCATCCTATCTTATTATATTTTCTCTCATCTTATAGCCTATTGGTGCTACACCTAAGTTCTCTCGAATGTATTCATTTTGAATTCTGTCCCTTCTTGTCTTGTCACTCATCTATTTCAACTTCCTCATCTTAGCTACATTTATTCTACGGGTATGCTGTTTTTTGACCGCCCAACATTCTGCCTCATAAAGTAAACTTGTTCTCACAACTATCCCATAGAACTTGCCCTTTAGCTTCATTGGTATGTGACGATCACATAAAATTCTGGTTGTACTTCTCCACTTCACCCACCCAACTCTAATTTTATGTGTGATATCCTCCTCAATCTCTCCATTTTCTTAGATTATCGACTCAAGATATTGAAAGTGGGCTCTTTTTGGTATTTCTTAGACGTCAATCTTAACTCTATCCTCGTCTCTACTCTTATTATTACTATACTTGCATTTCATAAACTGTCTTTGTCTGGCTAATTTTAAAACCTTTAGACTTTAAAGCATCCCTCCAAAGTTCTAACTTTGTGCTGACGCCATTTCGAGTCTTATCAATCAAAACTATGTCATCCACGAACAATATTCACCACAATATCTCATTTAGTAGGTGCCTAATGAAGTTGTTTATAACTAAGACAAAGAGGTATGGGCTCAATGTTTTCCCCTTATGTAGACCTATTGTCACTGAAAACACACTCGTTTCTCCACTAGTTGTTTATATACTAGTTAGTGCTCCCTCGTACATATATCTCATTAAGTCGATGTAGTGTCTGGAAACTCATTTCTTTTCCAATACCGACCAAATCAAATATCTTGGTACTCTATCATAAGCTTTCTTTAGGTCAATAAGACCATGTGTAGGTCTTTACCCTTCGCCCTAAACTTCTCAATCAATTGGCTAAAGAGGAAAATAGCCTCAGTTGTTAACCTCCCTAACATAATTGAATTGGTTTTTTGATGCACTCGTTTCATGCCTTAGGCTTAATCACTCTCTCCCACAGTTTCATAGTGTGACTCATATCCATATATATGTATATGTGTATCTATATATACACACACACACACACACACATATACATATACACATATGTATGTGTTTGTGTGTGTGTTCAATAGATATTTTAAAATATGGGTTAGTGTTTCATGGGTTTCGATTTTGTTTGTGTGTATGTTTTCAATGGATATTTTAGAATTTGGGTAAGTGTTTCATGGGTTTTTTTATTCTTTTTTGTTCTCATGTGTGGGTAGATTGGAAGTAGAGTCAATTGGAATCGGAATTATGCTGCAAAGGATATCAGGTTTGGCATTGATGCTCGAGCTTTAATGCTCAAGGGTGTTGAAGACTTAGCTGATGCTGTAAGAATAACCATGGGCCCAAAGGTAGCTCATCTATTCCCATTCCCAAAAGATCTCTCTCTCTCTCTCTCTCATTTACTTGCTATTTGTACTTCTTTTGATGGAGATGGTGCAAAACTGAATAAAGTATGTAGGATGTTCTAGTTTACTCCCATCATCCTCTTTATGGTATCATAGTTCGATGAATCATTTTATTGGAATGGATGAGTGGTGGTTTTTTATAAAATGATGCGTCTCTAAATAGATAAATGAATTTCTCATCATCAGTTAATTAACCAGCAAATGTAAGTCTTTAAGCCGAAATGAAGTGAATGTACCTTGTGCTCAAAAGGGGAACTCTGTTCTGCTTTGTTTGGTCTGAAATTATGGATATCTTGGTATTCTTTTTAAAGTGTATGCTTTAATCAATCTGGCACATTTTAGCTATATAATTTGTGGATTATCTTTGTCATTGTTCTTTTATATTAATTTACACTTTTTTCTTTCAATGAAATTTTGGGACATAATCGTTCAAGCTGGGAATTCCTGATTGAATCAAGTGCTTACAAACTAGAGCCTTAAAGAAAATTGTTTCCTGTTTATGCTGTTTGATCTGTGTTTGGTAACACTTGAATTTATTAGGGTCGCAATGTTGTTATTGAGCAAAGTTTTGGGGCACCAAAAGTAACAAAGGATGGAGTCACTGTCGCCAAAAGTATTGAGTTTAAGGATAGAGTTAAGAACATGGGTGCAAGCCTTGTCAAGCAAGTTGCCAATGCAACAAATGATGTAGCTGGCGATGGTTAGTGAATGAATTTTCCTTAACCTTGCATTCTAGATTTCTGATATACCTCTCTCTCTCTCCTCCT